ATATATTTATAAAAGTATAAATATATATACATACAAATATTTTTTTAATATATACATGTGTGTGTATTTATATATGCATAATAAATATAGACAGTACACACACAGATAGTATGTAAACATAAACTTTTATTTTGAATGCAATTAATTGTTTTGCAGCCCTACTGAAAATATTCAAATATATTCCAAATATGGGTACAGCATTCTCTTTAAATGGAAACGATTGGCAGAAATGTGTGTAGATTTTGTTTATGTATTGATTATCGTGAATATCTGCTTTCGTCCTCTGTTTACTTTACAAAGTGCCAAGTGATACAGTCACAAGCAATCATGGTGTATTTAATGTTAAATATACAGCTGAATGGAAGCTGATTTTGCTGCAATAGCATTTCATTATAGAAGAATAGAAACCGACTGACAAAATGTCTTGTTGCTTGTCACAGCTGGTTAGGACAAAAAACTATTATAGGTGAAGTTTTTTGTTACTTGTCGTTTTGATTGTGTCACACCTGCTTTTGGACACTAAGGGTGCTTTCACACCTGGCCCGTTGTTTCACAATCCTGGACTCCTGCTCAAAATTATAAATTAATATAACGACAGCAACAAAAAAACAACAACAATAAGCCCGCGAAGCTGTTGTCTTTCCATCCTGACAGATGACAGCTGTGACGGCTAAGTGGAATCCCGGAAAATAAACCGTAGATCTTTGACCAATGAGAGAACAGTTTACTCACGCGTGATTTGTATTAACTAATTTGGTCCGTTTAGAAACATTGCCATGTGAAAGTGAACCGCACCAAGAATAAAAAGCAACATTGTAATCATTTTAATCCCTGTTTCGGAACAAAGTAATCGATCTACAGGTGTGAAAGCACTCTAACTGATTAATGTTCGCCTTCCATTTTGCAGTTTTTCAAAATGAAGTCAGAAAAGAGGTGAAATTTCTATCCTCGCATTGTTAATCTTAATGCAATCTCTAGGCTACTCAAAATGGTTTCCCATTATGCTGGGTTACTAAGTGGGCCGCCACACTTCACAGTGGACCTATATTTTTTTGACGGCACATTAGTAATCTTATACACACAAACACACAGACATTGCATTTTTCACTTGATAGAGCCATGTAGACCTAGTGGCTCTACAAAGAACAAAAAGAAGGTCACCTTTGTACATGCGATCACGTTACGTCTGTATTGTAGCAGGACATTGAGTGCCTCCATGTTCAGCTCAAAATGCCATGTTCATTAAACCTCTATCAGTTTACTTTTAGTGCATCTAAGGAGTTTTTTATATTTAATCTGAAACCTACATTTTAAAGCAAGTACCACAAAGAAACTCAAATAATACATTGGTTAAAATCTTTTTGAGGCCTGCTTTCACAGTTCTTCTGTTCTTGTGCTGCTTTTAGTGTTCAAGTTAAAAATGGCCAACAGAGGCTATAAGTTTTTAGTTTCATCCTGTTGTACTTCCAGTTCTTCTCATGCATCTCTGTCTCAGAGGCAGTTGGCTGCAGCTGAGTGTACCGGCAGAGTTCTCACAACACTCTCTTCCTGCCTGCTTCATTTCAGATATCAAAGGATTCTGGTAATGTGCCATGGGGTACGACGTCACCAGGTTCCAAGGAGAGGTGGACGAGGATCTGTTATGTCCCATCTGCAGCGGGGTGCTGGAGGAGCCAGTGCAGGTCAATATTTATTTTCATTCGACCGCAACATCCTAGAACACCTTGAGAAAGTGACAGAGACAACATTATGAGTTTGTGGTTATTAGATGTCATTGTGTGAATGTGTTTCACAAGGGTTCAAAATGATCAATCAATCAAAATCAGTGATAATAGTAATAAAATAATAATATAACAACAATAATACTTTATTATTATTCAATTAGTTATTTTATTAATTAATAAAAATAGCAGTATTGTTTATTATTATTATTATTAAATTAGTTAATTAAGTTATTTGATTAATTATTAATAATATTATTCGAATTATTAATAATAACTAGTGCTGTCAAACGATTAATCGCATCCAAAATAAACGTTTTTGTTTACATAATATATGTATATTTTGTAGCGTCTGGACCAATCAGACACACCATTTTTCCTTTGATTTAACAAATCAATTATTCATTAGATTAACAAACATTCACAGACCCCTCACCCAATAAACATACTGGGTGCCAAGTTGTCTGTGAACGAGGCCCAGGACCCTGGTTACCATGGCAACCCTGACACCAGATACATTTACGACCTAATGGAATGCGAGTA